AGGACCCCTGTGCCTACCCAGGTGCAATCTGGGCTGTTAATGCATCGAACCCTGGGCATGGGTTCGATGTGGGGCTGCGGGAGGGGGCAGCAATGGGGCTCCGTCCTGCTCTCCCCAGACAGTGTGGGCCAGGGGCCGGCGCGGGGACAGCTGCGGTGTGGCTTCTGTCAAACTAAGCCAGGCCCCCACGTGGGGCCCCTCTGCTGGGTCCTGCGCTTGTACAGTAAGTGGTGGATCCCTGCCCCTTCCCGATCGAGTCTCAACCATAAAAAGGGATACTGATGTGACCAGTCCCGGGGAGGGGGCAAGTGAGAGCCAGGGGCCCCAGCACTGTGAGCAGGCACCTGGGTCAGCACTGGGGAGCTCAGAATGTGAACCCCCAGCCCCCCCACTCCCTCCCCCTGCCCAGCCAAGTCCCAGGGGATTCTCTCTTCAGTCCTAGGAAGAAGCAATCTGACATCACTAAAAAATTTTAGCACACTGAGTCTTCATCAGCTGCCAAATTAGGGTGAGGGCAGAGAGAGAGGCTATGTCTTTGGAACGGGGAGGGGCTTGGAGGGCCAGGGAGACGCGTCGCTGTGGGGCTGCCATCTCTCACTGCACCTGCCCGCACTTCCTCAGTCCTCCGGCCCCGCACCCGCGTCTCGCCGCGAGTCCATCTCTGCTCCGCGGCCTCTGGCTGTACACATTCTCCTGTCCCGCTGGACGGAGCATACTCGCCACCCCCACTGTCCCCGCGGCCCCGCCGGGGCGTCCGGAGCAGGCGGACCGACAGCCCAGTTCGACAGGTGGTGGGGGGCTACCCCCGTACCACCCCGATAATCGCTGCCCGCGGCGCTATTCAAGTTTGTCGTGGGTGTGCGCGCTCAGCTCTGGAGAGGGTAGTCCAGCCGCGCCCGCACAGAGGGGGCGTCGTCACCTCCCCCGCCACCGGCGAGACAGACAGACAGACAGACAGACACACGCACACACGCTCCCCCCACCGCGCCCCTTCCTTCAGCGCGCGGGACTGGGGCGCGCGCACTCGGGGACAGTCCGGCCCCCGCCCGGCCCCGCGGTAATGGGGGGGAACACGCGAGGCGGCCCAGGCTCGGGGGCTCGGCCCCTGGGGGCCCGCGAGGGGAAAGCCGGTCCCCGGCCCCGGCTCCTACCTCGCAGGAGCGGCAGCGGCCCAGCCCTGGTCGCGGGTCCCTCGCTGGCTCCGCTCGGGGCTCGGGGAGCCCGCCCCGTCCGTCAGTCCGTCCGCACGAACAGCGCCGGCGACCGCGGCCGCAGCTCCGGCTCGGGAGGGCGGGGCCGGCGGGGCGGGGCGNGGGGTGGGTTGCCATGCTCGCCTCCAGGAGATCTTCCCAAAAGGGATTGAACTCGCCTGTCTTGTGTCTCCTGCATTGGCAGGTGGGTTCTTTACTACTAGTGCCACCATAACAACTGATATTTTTTATTTCTTCTTTTTTCAGTTTATATATGTCCCTTATTCTCTGGGTCCCTGAGTGTCACAGGACGTTGTCATGTATAAATGGGGTCAGGAGGCATTGGAACTACTGAAGGTGTGTGGAGAGGACACACCAGGTGTCTGTTCACAGCATTTTAGGCCTGAAAACTACCCAACTTTCTGTCTTCACCCACCTTCCCCAGGAGCATGTTCCTCTCCACTCCCAGGGTCCCCTGGAGAGGTCACCCCAATGAAGGTGTCCACATCTCTCATCGGGATGGAGTCCAGCCTCTCTCAACCTCCCAGCCCCCACCAGCCCAAACTCTTGGATGGAAGGATTAGAAGGAAATTGGGCTTCAGCCTGATTCTGCCCCCCCAGGCTGTGTGACTTGGACGAGTTACTTGATCTCTCTGAGTCTCCTTGTCCTCCCCTGTAACCAGGGCTGATCTGGGGTATGTGCGTTCACCCAGAACCTGCTCTTGGCTCAGTTGGTTTAAAGATCTGTTTTTGTCTGTTTTGGCCGTCTTAAATTGTTTAATCATTTTGAACAAGGGGCCATATTTCAATTTTGCCCCCGAGCCCACAAACTGTGCAGCCGGCGCTGGGGACAACCCTCCTTACTGGGTCGCTGCCACTCTTCACTGGGGTGATGTTTGCACAGACATCTAACACCCAGCTCGTGACAGAAGTTAGCTCCCTTTCTCTGATCTGGTCTTGAAAAGAAGGTCACTAGGTGAACAAAGGGCTGGGCAGGCAGCTTCATGGGGAGGGGCCGGGCTGGGCGCAGGTGTGAGGACGCCAGTTACGTTCAGGCAAAGGCCGCGGTCTGGGCGGAGGGGAGGCACGGGCAGGGGCGGAGAGCGGAGGCCACGAAGCGGAGGACCCCCCAGGCCAGGGCGACAGGCCTCCTGGCTCCTCCAGGAGCTGGGGCCTGGGGCCTGGAGGCCGTGAGCAGGCGCCCCAGGCAGGGAAGGTGGGTGGCTCTCTGCTCCGGCAGCCTTGCTGGCAGCTGGCCGGGAACTGGCTGAGCTAATGAGGCGGGCGCTGGATGCCGTGGGCGGGAGCCCCGCTCCAAAGTCGCCAGAACAGCCTGCTGACAAGCTCGCTGTCGACATAATGGGGAAATTCTGCAGGTGTGAAGCCCAGCAGTGTGCCTGGGGACCTGGGGACTCCGGGCCTGATGAATAATGGAGCAGTCCCTCTTCCCGGGGCTTCTTTCTTGCCTTTCAATAATTCATGCATTCCCGGGGTTCAGGCGTTTCATAAAACCTCAGCCTTTTCTGAATCCTGGGCCCAGCTGATGGCTTCATGCGTTAGGTCTTAATTAGAAACAGACAGGCAGGGCCATGCACTCAGCCACATGTGCCTTGTTCCCGACAAGGAAAATCTCCCGTCACGTCCTGGAGGAGGAAGGGGCACCTGGGGCCCTGGAGGTGGACGTGGGGCTGGCTGCCCTGGGCGCGGGGGGTGGGAAGGCCCACACAGAGGCGTCCCCGGTAGCGAGGAGACTGCACACCGTGTGCTTAGCACCCCTCGAGCCAGGCCCCTTCAGGGACCAATTCGGGGACATCTGACAGAGGTGACGTGTGTCTCTCCCAGGTGGGGACTGTAGCGGCCGCGAGTGCTCCGCCGTCCGAGTTCGCGGCCTTTGGGCCTGGAGAGCGCTGTGTCACTCTGACCCTCCAAGTGATGTCTCAGAGCAGAACCTCCTGCAGACCTGTGATGGATGCACGGCCTAGGAAGGAAAGAAAAGCTTTCCTGTGAAGCCGCTGGGCTGGGAGGGCTGTTCGCCTCAGCTGGACATTGTGGTCTAACCTGATTGGTCTTCCTGCCCACGTGCTCGCCTGCCCTTTCTCGTACTTTCTCGTACCTGCTGATCATGCCCTTAGGAGCATGTGGGTTACACAGCCTGTGCGGGAAGGAGATGGGATGTGGACCCCGAGCACCCGGTCCACGTAGTCACCAGTGGGGATGAGGGGTGAGGGGAACAGAGGAAGCTGTCAGGATGTCGGGATGGATGGGCTCGGAGTCTCCCAGCAGATGCAGGTCAACTTTGAGATGAGCGTGACCTCAGGGCCTGGGGGTTTCTCAGTGTGTGTGTGTGCACACGCAAGTGCATGCGTGTGAGTGCGTGTGTCAGAGGGAGGGAAGAGGGCCTGGTAGGGCTGGGGGCCAGGGGCCTGCGCTTGGGCGGAGCCGCTCTGCGGGGCTGGCGGACAGCAGCAGCCGCGCCCGTCCCCGCCGCACTCGCCCTCGTGTTTTGCCGCACTTGGCTCCCAAGCAACCCTCCAGGCGAGGAAGTGAGTCCCTTCTGTTCCACAGGAGGAAACAGAGGCCTCAAGAAGCGTTTGCCCCAGAAATAAGGGCATGAGGGCGCTCGAGGAGGCCGGCACATTCCGGCTCTAGGATGTTGCTCCCCCGAGTGGACGTGGCCGCTCGAGGGGCCCTGGGCCCCCCTGACCCTCAGGCACCCAGACCGCACGCCCCTCCTTGCCGGTCACCCCGCAGCGCCGTCCAAGCTGTTTTCACCCCTGCCCTTCCGACGCCCATTGAGGGACTGGCAGTTCTCCTGCAGGGCCCTGAAAAGCCCTGAGCCCCGTGCCCCCGCAGGAAGCTCTCGCCCCCTGGAGCGGGGCCTGGGAGCGGTCACACAGCCGCACGTCCTTGCCGGGTGACCGAGCAGCCGCGTGTGTCCCCCACTGGCCGCTCTCCAAGCTGCCCTCCCTGTCCCCCAAGCCCAGCTGTCCACCCTCTGCTCCCATATCTGTCCCCTTGGCAACTAGATTCTGGCTTATAAAACAGTTCCAAGGGCAGGGGAACCCATCTACCAAATGAAGACTCTTCTCCATCACAAAAGCCGAGAAAGTGGCCAAGTGCTCAAGAAAACAGCGTTGAAAGGAGGGCCTGGTTGGAATGAGAGCCGCAGAGTGGGGAGGGCAGGGGCAGGGGCCTTAGCAGGAAGTGTCTGCAGGTGTCCGGGAAGAGACCTGCACGGGCACAGCTCCCTGTGGGCTTAGGAAGCGAGACGGGGCGGAGCGGCTTGGCAAAGGTGATGACCACAGCCCGACCCAAGACAGGAAACCTGCCTGGTGACTCCTGGGGCTCAGGATGCAGAGAGGATGAAGGGAACAGGTCCTCAGAGGAAATCCTGGGAGCAGACCCCGGGGGAAGGGACGCATGTTTTTCACCAAATCCACAGACGCTGGCCGCGTGGACCACCCTCTCACTGTGCACTGGCCCGGGGCCCTGCTCGGGCTGCTGTAGCGGGGATACTAACGTGCAAGGAAGCCCTGGACCACCCAGCAGCCGGTCCTCACACCTCCTCCCTGCCCTTAATCCCGGCTACTGCCAAGTGGTCTCTGCTTCTGCGGAGTCACCAGTCTGGATGCTTCATACAAGTGGACTCTTATAATACACAGCCCTTGTGTCTGGCTTCTTACCCTTAGCGTAATATTCTCAAGCCCCATCCATGTGGTAGCTGCGTCAACACTCATTCCTTTCGCTTCTAACATTCTATTGCATCACGATTTGTTTATCCTCTCACTGGCTGATGGGTATTCGAGTAGTTCCACCTCTTGGCTGTTGAGAATAGTGTGATTCATGTGTGTGTACATGTATTTGGACACCTGTTTTCAATTCTGTTGGTACATGCATCAGAGTAGCACTGCTAGATCACAGGATAATTCTATGTTTAACTGTTTGAGTAACTGACAGAATTCTCTACAGAGGCAAACTGTATTCCCATCAGTAATGGATGAAGTTTCCAATTTCTCCACATCCTTCCTAATAATAATTTCTCCACATCCTTCCTCTTTAAAATGATGATGGTGAGTTTGCCACTGCCCTCCTTGCGGTGAGAACCGTGACACTGATTTCCAGGACAAGGCGTCTGAGGACACAGGTGGTGAAGGTGAGGGGGGAGCTGGGAACAGGCAGCGCTGGTCCCGGAAGCCTGTGAGCCGTGGAGCTTGTCCAGAGGCTGTGGCCGACCTTCCAGAGCGAGCGAAGGTCTGTCTGTGGGAATCACCTGGGCTTGGTTCTAGGGCTCCCTCTGGGCAGGACAAATTGGCCTCTCAAAAACATGGACCTGCTTCAGATTACCTGGAAGCCTCCAGCTTCTGGAGAACTTGATTCAGAATGACACATGCCTTAGCCATCACTTGCAAAGATCACAGATGCTGCTCACACTGGGGAGAGAAAAAAAAATCTCCTTCCCTCGGTTCTTACCATCGACTAGAAAATGTCTGACGTTTCTTGGCAGGTCTGATGTCTATTCGTAGGAGAAAGCTTAACTCAGGCTGTGTTTCCTGACCCTTTTCAAGACAAAGATAATGATGATGGTGAGTTTGGTGAGATGATGGTGAGTTCACCATGGCCCACTGGGGTGAAAGGTCAAAGCTGCTCGAAGCACGGGGGTGACCGGTTCCGGGCCCCCCGCCACTCCACACGCGGTACCTCCGCCCACCTGGAACTCACTGATCCCAGCACATGTGCGCCGGGGTGAGAGGGGTCTGAGAGTCAATGTTATCTGTCAACCATGAGGCGACCTGGGTAAACTTCTTGCTCCCTTAAGTTCTGGTTCCATCTTCCCTGGTGGCTCAGCTGGTAAAGAATCCGCCTGCAATGCAGGAGACCCTGGTTCAATTCCTGGGTCGGGAAGGTCCCCTGGAGAAGGGAAAGGCTGCCCACTCCAGTATTCTGGCCTGAAGAATTCCATGGACTGTGTAATTCATGGGGTCGCAAAGAGTCGGACACGCCTGAGCGACTTTCACNATGGGAGACTACACCCCCGGAGGCCCTGCAGATGCGTGGGGGCAGGGTCGCTCCGGGGGTCATAGCAGAGCGTCCTGAGCCACACCGGGGAGGAAGCACCCTAATTCTCCCTCCTCCCTGGGGTGACCACCTGCCCCCTGTGCCCAGCACTACGCGAGCTCCTCTTTTCCCCACCCCCAGGCCGCTGGCCGATATCTGGAGACACCTTTGGCTGCCAGCTAGGGTGAAGGGCTCCAGTGGACAGAGGGGAGGGATGCTGCTGGACTGGGATGCCCAGGACAGTCCCCACAGCAAAGAATAGTGAATCCCCAAATGTCACAGTGAGATGCCTGTCAGGTTGAGAAATGTCAGCTGGAGAAATCTTGAAATAAATAAAGCAGATCCACGTGCACGTCCTGAGGGATGGGGGCAGGAGGCAGCTCTTGGCAGAAGTGGCCGGTCTGCTGCGGACGGTCCTGGTCTCTGTCCACGGCCCGGAAGAAGGAACAGGTCTGTCTCACCGCCTTACCGGTCAGCTATCCAGCCGCTGCCGTCAGAAACGACGTCGCCCTCTGTGGAGGAAAAGCCCTGCACTGGGGACTGGGTTCTGCTCCTTCTGAGTCCTGGCTATAATCGCTATAATCGTTTTGCTATAAATCGCTCTTGCTGCCACGGTGCGTTTTGCCAGCGAGCCCTGGATAAGCACTTCTGGAAAACCATGCGACAACTCGTTCTTTCAGACTGAAAAGCCCCCAGGACCACTTTGATGTCGAGCTGGTCTCTCCCAACAGCCCTTCGGGGCGTCCGCAGGCCTTGGAAGGTCATCGGAGGCGGCTCGCAGCAGGTGTCCTCACCCAGAACCCATAGTGCCCTGAGGATGCTGGGGTTCCTGAGCTTGAGTCACACCATGAGGACCCATCCCCCAGGGCTCCAGAGGACCCACGGTCCCCCCAAGTCAGCCCCAGACTGCGTTCTGCTAGGACGGTGACCAGGTAGCCATGGACGTCGAGGGCTCTCCCGACAAACTGCAAAGTGGCTACAGCAGTTAAAGCAGCAGCCCCCGCTGCCCTCCCGCCCCGATGACCCCGGGAGGAACCGCCCTGTGCTGCGCCGCCGAGAGGGTGGCCCGCGGAGTGAGCGATCAGGTGGCTTCTCTCCTCGGCCACAGGGGACTGGGCTGCCTGGAGCCTGACCCCGAGGGCCTCCCCGCCTGACCCGCTGGGAGAAGCCAGGAGGCGGCGGAGTCGGCTGAGATGTTGAGAAAACAGGCAAGCAGAGGAGGCAGAAACACATTCAGAGGGCCGCAGCTGTGTGCTTCCGTTTATGTAACTCTCTGGGAACGAGGGTGGGGAGGCATCAGCCCCTGCGGGGGCTGGAGCGGGGGCGAGGCGCTGGCGGCCCCAGCGGCCCCTGTCTTGAATACGGTGGTGGTCCCGGGGATCGGTACACGCGACCGAATTCATAGAAACACACAGCACGGAAGACCTGTGGGAGCGGGATCAGTCTGTGGTCGGTTAGTAGCTCCTATCCGCGGTTGACGACCTGATTTGGATCATGTGCTGTGATTATGTAAGCCATCGCTGTGGGGAAATCGTGGTGGTGGGTAGGTGGGAACTCTGTATTATTTTTGCAAATTCTTTTGAGTCTTAAATGATTTCAAAATAAAAGGTTTTAGAAAGAAAGAGAGAGCTGATATGCTGACATGAGTGACAGAAGAGACCCGCCTCCCCAAAGCGCCTCGGATCCGGAGATTTCCAGGCCTGGGTGGGCCCATCTGTGTTGACTGCAGGCCAAGAAGCAGAGCAGGGCAAACTCCTGGTGCATGAGGCTTGGTGTGCACTTTTCATTGTTTCCTCAGGAAAAATGCCCCCACCACAGAACTGCTGTGTGTGAGCGCGTTTTTAAGACTCTTGTCACTTGTGCCAGATTTCCCTCCAGGATTGCACCAGTTTATCCTCCCACCCGCAGCCCAGGGGAGGGCCAGCTTTCCCGGTGCTTGCCAAAACTGGGTTTTAATCTTTAAAGAAGGCTTAATGTTTGCCAAGGTAATACATAGAACTTGAAGTCTTGTTGTTATTTTTTTTCCTCCAGGAATTCTAAATTCATGAACTGACTTGGACCACACGATTGGCTCTTCACCTGGAGACTTGAGTTCATCTTCTTCCTTAGTTGTCTGTCCCCTTCATGAAGTGGCATTTCAATGTTGAGCCACTGAAGGGTCACTAAAAAAGGCCGTGTGAAATTTGCTCCTGCGTTTATTGTTTCATAAAACCTGAAATACACTTCTTCCGTTGCTCAGTCTCTCTTCTGTGTCATAAAACCACACCCAAGGATTCCTTTCAGGACTCAGTGCTAGGAAAGGCTCTCATTCCTGGAGGAACACATATGCTTCCTCTTTTCCAGGTTGGGAGAGCCCTATAATGGAGCATTGATCCCAATTGTTTTGGCTGCTGGAAATGCAAAGCCATTATGAGGATCAGTTACAGCAATTGTGTTAACTCCGGTGGGAAATATATTTCTGTTTCTCTTGTCTTTGGTCCTGACCTTCTGTTTTTATTATTTTCTTGATGTGTTTTATGGGTAAGCTGCTTCAAATCCTGTGAACCAAGGCAAAAGCCAAGATTTCTCTTGACTATGAGCTCTGGGAATCACAGAGAGCCCTGGCCTGGCACCTGATACAAGGGCTCACATAAATATTTGTTAAATGAATAAAGGACAGAACTTGACAGCAAACTAACAACAGAATTGACATTGATTGAAAAGAAATGCAAGTTACTAGTTGATCCAAGAGCAAGAAAATGTTACCAAGAAAAGCAGAGCTTCAAGAAGCCAAACCAGAAGGAAAAAATACCAAGAGTCTCAAAAATGTTCAGTTTTTCTATTTCTGGGAACCCAACTGAGGAAATGATCCAAAGTGCCTTCAAAATTTTAGGAACAAAGATGTTCATCACTGAGTTGTTAAAAATAATTAAAAAACTAGAAATAACCTAAAGTCCAGTAATAGGGGCATCAGTAAGAGAACTAAGAGAACTAAGTAGCCATTTAAAGCATTCACTACAAAGAGTTCTTGGGAATTGCCTGGCAGTCCAGCGGGTAGGACTCCGCACTCTCATTGCTGTGAACCCAGGTAGGATCCCTGGTTGGGAACTAAGATTGCACAAGCCCCATGGCTCAGTCAAAAAAAGAGAAAGAATTCTTAGTGACTCAAAGGAAAATGTGTGCAGGGACATTACATGGAGAAGCAGGATACGGAAGTGTACACTCATCACGTTTCGCACAGTGTCAGACAGCACACAGAAGGAAGGAAATAAACTGCGGTGTGATCACTGATTCTCTCTAGGTTGTGTGAATTTTATTATTTTATCTTGATTTTTCTGTATCTCCCAGGTTTTCAGCAGCAAGCACGTATCTTATGATAAAAACAGAAAAGAAAGAGTCTCGGGGTAAAGCTGACTCCCTGAAAGGCCTGGGACGCGAGCATCCTGCCGTCAAAGAGGCAGCTCGGGGTCTTCTTGTTTCTTTTGCTAACAGTGGTCAGGACCCTTGGAGGCTCCCCCACCCACGGTGGCCACAGACTCAAAGTGGCCCTTACCTCCTCTCCCCGTGAGTATGGGCTAGACTTAGTTACTCCCTGCTGAGGGGCAGCAAATGGTGGAAGTGATGCTGTGTCGCCCAAGATAGGCTGTCAAGGCACCGCTTCTTCCTTGTTCTGTCTTGAGTCCCTTGCTTTTGGGTCAACACTGTCACTCTGTTGGACATTCGAGCAGCTCTATGGAGACCTGAGCTGGGCTCCCCAGAGGGCTCAGGGGTAAAGAGTCCTGCCGATGCAGGAGACACAGGTAGACACAGGTTCGATCCCTGGGTCGGGAAGATCCCCTGGAGGAGGAAGTGACAACCCATTCTGGTATTCTTGCTGGAAAACTCCATGGACGAGGAGCCTGGTGGGCTTCAGTCCATGGGGTCGCAAAGAGTCCAAAATGACTGAGCAACTGAGCACGTGCAGACCCGAGTGGTGAGCAGCGGAGCCTCGCGTCAAGAGGCAGTCTTCTCCAAAGCAGACGCGCCACTGGACGACCTGCCGGACCGGCCGGTGCCCCCGTGAGAGCCAGCGGTGTGCGGGGCTGCTGCAGAGGGTTCTGAGAGACGGGGTGCTGTTTTTCTCTCTCCACCCACACCCAGACAGCTCAAAAGTCAGGTGAAGGTGGGAGAGAGCCTTCCAAAATAGTTACAGAATGGCCTCTGGTCTCAGAGGCATTGGTCAGCTGAGAAAAGGAAGCTTCCCCTTGTGATGGGGTGGGCTTTGGCGGGAAGCTTGAGGGGAGAGGCGCCCAGGAAGGTCCTGCAACCCCAGCCAGGCTGAGCTTGCAGGGTCAGGAAGGTCAGAGACACCTCTCTGCGCTGCTCAGGAAGTGTGTGACTGGAAGCAGTTAATTAAGCTGGGCCTCAGCTTCTGGTCCGTGAGACGGGAACCCCAGCTCTATTCTGGGAGGCATCCTGAGGACTGATCACATGGCAATTCCTCCAGAGCAAGAGCTGGATCAGAGTCAGTCCTTCCCCTCCTCCCTGTTTGATGATTTCCGTGTGGTTCTGACCCCTCCCATCCACCCTTTTCTCCATCAGCCTCCCGCCCCTTCCTCCAAGAGGTTCCCCTGGCACGACTCACATCTGTACTCTTCCAGTTGGCTCAGCTTGTCTGGTGTTGCTCCCCTGGGGATTGTTATTTAACCTCTTGGACTTTACTTTCCTCTTCTGTATAATGGGCACAGCAAACAGGACCCACCTCAGGGAGTCACTGTGGGCTTTAAAAATGCCCTTGAAGAAAAAAGAAATGCACTTGAAGAAACAAGAATGGTGCCTGGCATGCTTTAGGTACTGTGTGTGTGCATATGTGTGCTTGTGTGTGGGTTTATCATCTTATCTTTTGCCATCTCCCCCGTCTCTGCTGAGCCCACACTAACTCTTCTGTTCTTTAGAACCATATCGTGCGCTCCCCTCTCCTGCCTAGAATGGGCCTTCCTGCGACGTTACTTATTGAACTGAAAGTGAAGTCGCTCAGTCGTGTCCGACTCTTTGCGACCCCGTGGACTGTAGCCCGCCAGGCTCCTCCGTCCATGGGATACTCCAGGCGAGAGTACTGGAGTGGGTTGCCATTAGCTTTTTATCAAAAGCGTCTGGAGGAGACCGGGTGCTGCCTTCTCAGAGCCACAGCACGGCTGGCACACGCCCCTCAGACCCAGCCCCACCCTTCCGAGCCAGGGGCTCCGCCTTTGCCTGTGGGCGTTAGTGTTTCAGCTGCAGCTTGATTTTACCCCAGAGCACACAACAGGCCAGAGGAGCAAACCCCAGGGCGGCAGGCGTCACCCGTGTCAGCGCAGCAGCCACTGCCCCCAGACGGACAGCTGGGGTTCCCGCAGCAGAGGCTGGTGAAGGGCTCGGAGCCGACGCTGAGCTCATTCCTGTGTGCGCATATCATGTCGCCACCGTCGGCCTGCAGACACCTCGGGAGCGTGGCTGTGACACAGTGACGCTTCGGGTCACCACCGGCTGGGCTCCGGGCAGCCCTGGGACCCATACCCTCATTCATTCGTTCCAGACAGGAGCTGCTGCCACGTGCCAAGCACTGTTCTAGGTGCTGGGGTTTCTTCTAAGTGCTGGGGATATGCTTGGTTTTCTGGTAGGGCTTGCATTCTGATGGGAAATGGGACACACACGCATGCAGACACACAGACACACACACACAAGAGTGAATAATCAAGTCAGCACCATCTGAGCCCACCTCTTACCTGTGGAACCTGACGTCACAAGCCAGGCTGGGTGAGGCTGGAGGGTAGTGGGGACGTTTGGTTTATTTAAGGGTCATGGGAAGCTGCTGCAGGGCTTTACACAGTCAGGGGACCTGCTCAGACAAAGTCATGCCGGCTTCTGGCAGAGGGCCGTGGGGCTGGCAAGCGCAGCTTCAGGGACCCAGGCAGGGAGACCCGTGCACGTGGGGCCCGGCGGCCAGCCTGAGGGCTTTCCCGGAGCAAGGATCTAAGTGTTGGCAGTGCTGCCATCTGGGCTGGGTCTGCCCTCGCTGTGGGCATCCTGCAGGGCGTAGAACGTTGATAGCGTCTCTGGTCTTTGGCCCCTGCCGACTGGATGCCCGTGCACTAGTCTCCAGACACGATGACCAGAACTGTCTCAAAACATTGCCCAAGGCCCGCTGGGGACAAAGTCACCGCCGTGGGGAGTCACAGCAGGCCCAGCAGGACTCGCTGACAAGCTGGATGCAAGCGGACAGGGCTGGACGCAGGCCACAGGCAGCGCGGAAATCTGCCCACAACCAGGAGGGGCAGGAGCAGCGGACGGGGACCACAGGTGCCCTGTCAGCTGGACGACCTGCCAAGCTGACCGGAGGATGAGCTGCCGGCCTGCCAGAGGGTCGTAGGTAGTGGGCACCAGGTGTGGGGCGCAGGGGGACAGGCTTCCAGGGCAGCGGGGCCTCTGTCTCGGGGTTAATGATGGTGAATGGAGCGCGGACCTCCTGGAGGCTCAGGCCTCCCCCGCGGCCTCCGCAGGGCCAGAGGACCTGCCCACGTGCTCTGGCCTTGGGGTTGCCCCGTGACCACGAGGAAGAGTGCCCGTGCCGCCACCGAGGATGCACACGAGACCGAGGACACGAAGGGATGGTCATTGTCTTTATTCGTACACACGGCTTCCAAACTACAGTTAATGTATCTAACAGAGCATATCATGCAAACAGAGATCAGAGGGGACAGTGTTAGAGCAACGCAGCAATTCGCACACCCGTCTCGCCCGCGATAAACCGAACGGGACCGGACAGCTGAACAGCCTCTGCACGTCGTCAGTAGCTGTTCACACACAAGGGAAACCGCACCCGCCAACCCTGCCTCCTCCACACAGATTTGGGGTCTGATTGACACGGGATGTTTTTCAATTAACGATTTAAACCTGGTGTGTCCTTCAACCCTCCCCCCTACAATAGCGCAAAAGCAATGATTTCAAATGTTTCTGATCATCTATAAAAGATATTCTGAAAGACTCTAATAGAGGAGATACGAGGTGAATTTTTAGACTCAGAAGAATCACAGCCTTCATGGGTGATTTTGATTCGTCCCTTCAAGAAAAGAATCACATTTTTCCAGGGAGAGTATCAACAAAAGTCTACCAAGTCACTGGAATAAAAACTCCTAGAGTTAAGCCGAGGAGACAAGGACACTGTTGTTGAATCAGAAAATGCGACGCCACCTTTTGTCTTATTTTAGAAAAAAAAGTTCTTAGAAAGTAGACTTGATACTGGTTTCTGACAAACAGGGTTTTTTTTTCTGAGCAAACAGGGGTTTTTCTGAGCAAACAGGGGTCCTGTCTGCTCACACGAGAGGTGACACTGATGGGCACGTTTGCTGCTGCTTTTCTCTGGGCGTTGGAGCAGTTCTGAGCTGCCCCCTGGGCCAAGTTCTTACAGCACATCACTGAACTTTCCCCAAACAAGTGAGACCTGGGGCCCCTAGGAAAGGGAGACAGAGCGGAGGAAACACCTTGCTCCCAGGCCAAAAGGTGGCTGCAGTGTCTTGAAGAGCAAGAAAAGGGGCCCCAGGGCCCCCCCATCCTGCAGCCACGCCTGTACGGAGGGCAGGAGAGCTGCTTTCCCGTGGTCCAGAGCTTCCGGACTTTAGACAGTGGTCCCCACTGCCTGTTAAAAACATCAAGGACGTCATTCTTCCAACACATCCCGTCTGGACTTCCAGTCACTGTGAGGGGGCCACCACACCCCACTAGCGGAGGACAACCCTGCAGCGGGAGTGCAGGTCTGGGGTGCTCCAGGTGACCCACCCCAGCCAAGTCCTCCTACAGGCTCTTAGTGATTGGAATCTTATGAAATCATTGGAATCACATGAAATCTTATGAACTCATTTTAAAATAAAATGAGTTTTATTTTAAAAACTCAATTTAAAGGAAGAATTGAGTTATTAAAGTTCTCTATAAAAAAGTACAAATAGCGCAGTATATTCAGGTGTTCTGTTGGATTAGGGTTAGAAATTGATTTTTTCCATAAGGTTTCAAAAAGTCTTTGGAGCCTGTGGGCCATAGTGCGGGTTATCATAAGGCTGTTTGATGACTGAGTTGGACACACACAATTATTAACTATCAGCTGATCACAAAGATCAGAGGCACTGGGGTCCTAATCTCAGCTTTTAACCCTCCTGGGGGCCCCTGACTTACAGGATTAACAGAATTGAGGCCGCGGGGTTTCTACATGGCTGCCTTCCCCCACGTGTGACTCGGGGACTTTTCCAACAGCGGACCGGCATTGCTAGATGGCTGCCTCCGCCCAAACGGGAAACAATAGAAATGCTGACAGTCACTATATTTCATGAAGTATAACCCAAGTATCTCAAGGAAAAGATTTTAAAAGACATCTCCCAACACTCCCTGTTAGATTCCAGTGTGGTGATCACCAGCCAGGTAGTCTTTCTCCCCTGTTCCCCGGACCCCGAAAGTCATCTCTGGCTCCCCGCCCGGTGCCAGGGCCATGAGGATGTTTCGGGCGCCTGGTGGGGGAACAGACACGGCTGCGCGTGCTGGGCTTCGAGAAGCAGGAGACCGTGCGCCGCGCCAGGCGCACGACAAAGAGGTGACTGCACCGGACGGCAGGCAGTGAGAAGGTGCCTGCCACGGGGCGCTTCCTTTCTGGGGCTTTAAAACCGGACGACTCTCACTCTGCCTTCCTGCAGCTCTGAGAAAACACCCCCAGCCACACACTTAGACTTCCCTCAGTGCCCTCGGCGTGGAGGGTGCCTGTGGAGTCCGGCGATTTTGCCCTGGGCTGCAGGAAGCCACGGGGAAGGCGGCCCACCTGCCGGACACTCGGGTCCCACCCAGGGCTGGAAGCCCCGTCACGGGGCCAGGGGCCCAGGGGCCGGGCGCAGCCTTTGGGAACGTTCTGGGGCGGGAGCAGCGAACTTGCTCTCAAGCCTCCGGGAACAGCTACGCCCTCCCAGGAGCCCTCTCCCTTCCCGGCCCTCCTGCTGCGGGCCTGTCAGTCCTTCTGCGCCCACGCCCGCCCTTGCCTGGACCCCTCGAAGCCCTCCCACGACCTCTCCGGGCTCAGAGCGCAGCAGGGGCCCGTCCCCTCTGTCCCCGCACTCGGCCGAGTGCCCCTGCGCAGACCGTGCTCATTCGCATCCGCCGCGCACTGAAGCGCATCAGCCTGGGTCCTCGCGGTCTTCCATCCGACCTTTTCAGCCCGGGTTTCCAAAGGCCTCCTCACCCTCTGATTTTCTCCCAAAGTCCTGATAGGAAAGCCTAACGCACCTCCGGGGACACAGCGGGCAGTGACCCTGCGGAAGGGTGAGCTCACTCGGGGGGCGGAAGAGCAAACGCAACGACAAGAACCTTCGCGGGACCCGGGTCTCCCCGCGACCGCCAGGCCCGCCAGGCCCGCCGACCTCCCGGGAACCGCTGCCGGCGGAGCACTCCAGATGCTTCCTCAAACCAGGCCCCTGTGGGTTTAAGCAGGACGCCAGAGGAGGGGCCGCCCCTCCCACGGCCCGCAGCCTCGCAGGGCCGTCCCACCCGAGCGGGCGACGACATTCTGAACGGCTTCTGGAGCCACGGGGTCTGGATTCCCCGGGGTTCTGCTGCTGCTGGGCCCGCTGGGCCCACAGGCCCCGGCGATACCGCCTGGTCCTTCCCGGGTTTCTCGGGGGCCTGACCCCTCAAGGCCTCCTCCTTGGGCTTTATTTTACGGGACCCCCATGATGGGGCAGGGGTGAATCCGCAGAACTTTGGTTCAATCCACTCTGCTAACCGTCACCTATGTGGCGTGTGCTTTCAACAGAACTATCGTGGGATGCTCAGATTCTTAAAAAGCATCCGCTTTAGTCTAAATTCAGGGCACAGCAACGTACTGACACGCCCCACCACGGTGACCCTCCGCTGACCCTGATCTTCCCCGGTTTCCCCCCATCTGTCCTCACGCCTGTAGCCACTCCCGCAGGGCTGGCCCTCACACGGGGGGTTCCGCACGTTCAGAAAGGATGGAAGCCAGCTGGCATGCGGAGCAAGCTTCCCGAGAAAGAGGAGCAACTTGGAAGCGTGTTGGCCGCCGGAGGGACAGAGCGGCTTCCCCAGCTCAGTGCCTGCTGGGAAGCACGCGGTCCGCGCCCCAGAGTGCCATCCTGGACTGCCCTCCCCTCGCCAAGCACCTGCCTGGGGACCTGTTCTGGGGTCACTCCACTCCACGGAAGGTGACCGGCTGTTTCTTAGGTTTTCTCTATACCTGGGTCCCTTTCCATCAGACCAATCGAAGTGTGGGGGAGGACAGGTCAGACCTGCACTGACCCCCAGGGGGCCCACGGTCCAGCAACGGTGGCGGAAGAAGCTCCTCTCTTCTGGTCTAACCTGGTCTAAGCTCTTTCCTACCCGCTGCCTCCTCCAAGCACAAGTTCCCAGGACCGGGGAGGCCTCTCGCCTCTTAAAGCCCCTCAGGGTTGTGTGTCAGCTGAGAATCAGGAAAGAGGCGGAGCGTAAAAGTGAGAAGACACTTCACTGGGAGACATTTTGGGGAACAACAGGGAACAGAGCACCCCCGTAAGGACTGACGACCACGTCCGTGGAAACGCTCTTCCTGCTGTTGGCAGCTGGCTCCCCCCAGGCCCTCGCTGTGATGCTGTCTCACAGGCGTGCTCCTCCCAAGACCCAGAGAGGGTGCCCGGCCTCCCTAGAGTGTCTGGACCGCTGGGGCCTGGCGGTGGACCACTTGGGCCTGGCCACGCAGTCTGCAGGTGCGGAGCGGCTGGCAGGTTGTCCCAAGGTCCGCACACTCCCGGGGCATCCAGGCAGGCACGTCGGGAAGGGCTTTCTGCATCACTAGCAGCAGCAAGGCTGCAGGAGGGAACAGAATGAACAAACCAGGTCTGGCCTGGGGCCGTGATGACACCACAGCGGCACCAGCGGCCTGGGTCCCCTGGAGCCAGAGGGTCCCCGAGGCTCCAGGAGAGACAGGGACACAGGACCAGGGCACAGATGGTGCTCGGAGGCCAAGGGTGGCGGGGGGGTCTCACCTCAACATTATCTCCCAGACAAAACTTCTGTTTGCAGGTAGAATTAAATATTTATACATATATATGCCTTATTGATCACGTAAAGTAGCCATTCACTTTCAAAATTAGATCTACTGCAATAAAAAATTAATAAAGCCACTCTAGTGCCAAGGCAGGGTACACACAGAGTGGGGGTGTGGAAAAGGAAGCTGTTCGGGGGAAGGGAGCTAAACTTAGTCATAAAAGCAAGTGAGAAACAAGAGCCTTCACAAATATAGCACAGTTGTGTCTTATAAAATTATTATAATACTCTTTATACTTGATACGATTATATCAATAATATAGATTCACTTGTTATTAAGGTTTATTATAAACATGCAAAGTTCATTGCATGATGCATTTGCAAAACATATTAAAATCCTCTCAGCAATGAAACCTCTCTGAGCTGAAATGCATCCAGGTTTCCTGACTCTACAGGTGTGGGGAACCAGGGGACCGAAACTGTACTGCTGTTCATCTCAGAAGATGGGGACGGGGGACTGGGTCCTGGGGCTGCGGCTGGAGCCACCCTGGGTGAGCTGACTGTACATCGTACTCTCACGGACACCACAGCTGGTTCAATAAATAAGTACAAAAGGGGTGGGGCGTACACTTCCACTTCCCAGGCAGCAGGCAGTGAAATAGCAGTGTGTGGACGGGGTTGGCTAACAACACTGTGAGTAGTGGCATGATGGCTGATGGCACCCTGGATCCAGAGTCATCTCCCAGAGATCATGAATGTCACACATACACACACACACACACACACACACACACACTGGTCTGTCCTTGATCTGATTCTTGTGCTCATTTAGTGGACTCCTTAGAAGATTTGGCCTCTTAAAAGAAATGCAAGTAGCAAGACAGTTATCAACCAAGTCGGGTACAAGATGACAGATGCCCCCCAACACCCATCTGAGGTTCTCTTCCTCTTCTAAACCAGTGGCTGCAGTACTGGAACCATGAGCAGGTTACAACCGTCAGCGCCTGGGAGCAGTGAGCTTGCAAACCGGGCTAGACTTCTCTCAGCCTCTCGGGTTCTGGGGACAGCGTCCGTGGAGGCAGAGGACACAAGCAGCGGGTTTTCTGAAGCCCCCAACCCCTGAGTCCTGCCTCGCTCGAGCTCTGGGACCCCCATTCTTTTATTCCAAAGACGTGGAGGGTGGAGGTGTTTCCGGCCCCCTAGGCTCTGTGGGTTCATTTGAACATCTCTGATCGGAAATCCGGATGGTGAAAATCGACAGAGGGTTTGGGAGACACATCAAATTGTACCAAAAAAAGGAAAAAAAAAATGGGGCCAGAGTCTATTTGCTTTCCATGAAGGGTCACCCCCCGCCAGATGTCACCTCTACGTCAAGTGGATGCTGACGCGACGTCATCCTCCGCTGAGATGACGCAGCTCAGCGCGCAGGGACAACCGCCCTACAGTTTTCAGGCCTCCACCTGGAACAGGGAAGGTCGAGGCCGTCAAACTCTAGGGTGGGGGTCGCTTCCCACAGCAGGGCGGGGGCCGGAGCGAGGCTTCTGGCCGGGAACCTCATACCGCGCTCTGCGAGATGGGGTGCACGAACTGGGGGTTGACGTATGAGAAGCCTTCGAAATCAGACTGGTCAATGTTAGCGATGACCAACTGGTCGGGCGGCGTCAAGACAGGCTGCCCTCGCGTGAAGAACTTGTCGAAGTTCTCTGCTCCTTTGCCGCACTGTGGAGAGAAGAGAAAGGGGAGGTCGGCAGGGGTTCCGCCACCGCCCCGGGGGCAGATCTCTGCGGGGCGGGCGGGGCCTCAGGCCGGTCAGGCGGGAGGAGCCCTGGAGGGTTTGCCGAGCGACCGCAGAGCTTGAGCCAGGCACAGCGATCGCTCACGGGGTCACTCGCGGGTGAGCTGTCCAGCAGCCCGGAACCGGATGCCAGGAAGGGGGACGGCGTTGCCTGGGAGACGGCCCGCCGCGGTGAAAGACCCGGTCTCCTGCGTTCCGCCCACACTCCCCCCAGCCCTTCGGAGCCACGAGGACAGACACCACATGCTCGGGGCCACGGGTCGCTCTGCCAGCTGGCAGGCCAGGACGTGGGGGAATGCGCACAGTCGCCCCTGACTGGAGAGGCTGGGGGCCTAGCCCACGTTTGGGTCTTTGCAGTTGTATTTGTAACAAAGCAAAAGCTGTGTTATTCTTGTCTTCCAGCTGGGAGGTTCTGAAAACCTCAGCCCCTAAATTCATCTTCAGCCAGGACGGGATCAGCATGGAGGCAAGACTGGCCTGTTCCTTCCCCGGGCTCAGGGGATGGGGGCACTTCTGCCAACCAGCAGACAGGCGGCCATGGAGCTCACTGCCTGTTGTTCTGGCCGGAGGGCGTGTGTACTGGTGTCCCCAGAGGAGGCAGGGTGTCTGCCTGTCAGGGACACCCACCCCTCCCCTCCCGGGCCCACCGGGCACTTCATGTGCCGGGGCTGCGGGCAGAGCTGCCCTCCTGGGGGAGAGGGTCTGAGAAACACAGCAGCGTAGGCAGCACCGCTGGGGAGCCTGACCCCCAAATAAGAGGCAGGGGTGTCCCGCTCACACTCCAGCCACCAGAGGGGCGGCAGGCGGGAGTCCCGGATCTCAGGGCGGCTCTGAGGCAGAGTGCTGGGGGCACCCTGGTGACGCAAATGACCATCTCCTCCTCCCCCAGCGGAGACCGCACGGTGGCACGAACAGGTCCTGAGTCCGCAGAGCTCCTGTGCCTCTCAGAGGGCACAGCTGGGACGTGGGGCCACCCCAAGCTCCATGTTCCCAGGGAGCACACAGCGCCTTTGGAGTGACAGACGCCCACCCCCACATGCAGGGCCCATGCCAGACCATTCAGAATCCAGGCTCTTCAAGGAAGAAAGGACGGGAATTTTCTTCCCGAGACTCAATCAGGGGCCACACTTGATTCATCAGGAAAACCAACCAACAGCAACCAATCTCCGGACACTCTGGGGCCCCCACGACTGGTCGGGACAAAGACGCAGTGTGGGTGTAGCGGTCAGGAGGTGGCCCCAGCCTGGCGTGTGTGCTGGACAGCCCCCTGGGCAGTCCCGAGCCCTGACAGGCTCTGTGTCTACAGCAGTGCATCTGACACCCTGAGAAGGTGGGGGTTCAGGGGTGAAGTGCCCAGTGGTGTCTTCGGGCAGTGCACATGCTCCCCGCCCTCTCCCCCCAGAGAAGATGGGGAGTGAACACCCACCTCCCACGGCTGCCGTGAGGTCAGAGGAGCAGCTGGGGGACCCTGAGTCGGCGATCAGGTCTGACACAGACCCAAGATGCCCCATGTGTAGTGGGCAACCGGCGGGGACCAGGCACGTGGCTAACTTGTGAGGGATGAATGAACTATTAATAATCCGCCTCCCGCTTAGCTCTGGCTTGATGACTGCCTGGTTCTCTGGACGCTCCTGTCCATTTGGTAAAATCATCGATGAGTGAAATCAATCAGGCAGGTCAGGCTGGCAGGAGTGGGACAATGTCGGGAGGGGGTTGCAGGGACCTGGGATGCGTGCTCCCTCCTGCAGCCCCACGGAGCTCACAGCCTCTGCTTCTGTGCACGGGGCCGCGGGGAAGAGATGGCGCCTGCTCCTCGGACACTCAGCTGGGGCCCCAACCTGCCGGGGCCAGCGACAACGCACAGCACACACGCTGGTCTCAAGCCTGCCCTTCACACCTGAGTGTCCTGGTGACAGAGAGATTAGACCCACGGGCACTGGCATGGGAATTAGGGCGAGTGTGAGTAGCTCCAAAACGCTGGGTTACACAGCAGAACGCCAAACCAAACTCGGCACAGCGGGAGGGTGGACAGTGCAGTGAGGGGCGGACACTCCCTGTGGGCGGGGACCGTCTGCTGAGGACCAGACGCAGCGGCGGCGTCTCAGGGGAGCCGTGCCCGCACCCCACGCCCCGGTCTGGGGAGCCGACCTGCATGGTGGTCCCAGCAGAGGGGGCGGGGGGCACACCGCCCGCAGTGCGGCTCAGCTCCCTGACTCTCCATTTAGTTAAGGAACCGGCGGAAGGAACGAGCGGGCACCTCTCGGGTGGTCCTGTCCACACCAGAGAACTGTCGGTTCTTTGGTGGGGGCTGGGACGCCCGGGCATCTGCGCTTCCTCAGACCAGCATGCGGAGGGCGGGAGCTCCGTGCACCGCCCAGGCAAGCGGGCGCACACGCCAGGATTAGGCAGTGCGGTTAGTTCATCGCATCACCCAAGGTTCCAAGAGGTGCTCACCGAAGGCCTGGACGCCCACTGAAGCCAGTGCATTTTGGTGCAGAAAGTCTGGAGGAGGAGAACGGACAGAGGAGGGTTTGGAAGACAGTCAGTGCCCGTGCAGAGGAGCCGCAGGGTCACGCGAGCCACGTGGGGCACCCCTGCGGTGGACCTCCTTCACACCTCCTCCGTGTGAAGGTTCACACACGCACGCAGCATTCTGGAAGCTTACAGAAGCGAGTGAGCAGTGGGCATGGTCTGTGCGGAGGGTGGTCTCGACCGTTCACTTTACATTCTTCCCTGCAGCTTGACTGCCTCTTTCCCCACACAGAGTTTGTATTTTAATGATAATTCCAAAGATTGGACTGGGGCCTCTTTCACCTCTTGCCAGCGTTCCCTGAAGACGGGCCCTGAGTCTCTGCAAAATTAAACGTAACCCCTCTCACCTGCCCGCAGAGCCTCTTAGGGAAGGCCACTCCTGGTTAGGAGGTGGCTGATTTATGGGTGACTTTGCCCATGAATGGGGCTTCCCTGGTGGCTCAGATGGTAAAGAATCTGCCGGCAATGCAGCAGATGCAGGTTCAGTCCCTGGGTCAGGAATATCCCCTGGAGAAGGAAATGGCAACCCACCCCAGGATTCTTGCCCGGAGAACCCCATCGACAGAGGAGCCTGGCGGGCTGCAGTCCGTGGGGTTGCAAAGAGCTGGACACGACTGAGCGACTGACACGTGAACACCCTGCCCGTAAACAGACACATGAAGGGGCGGGCTCCTGCCGGGTCAGGGCCTGTGCGTCTGGGGGCAGAGGCTCCAGCTTATCGCGGCCTGTACTCTCTGGCATAAAAACACACATGCCTCTTGGTCTTTCTTTACACTAATAGCCAGCTTTACGGCGCTCGAGGTCGCTTCTCCAAGGAGGGCTGTTGTCCAGAGCAGCATCGTGGGGGACCTTCCTCCAGACCACGGGACGGGTCACTCCCGCGGCCGGTGACCGTGGGGTCTGCACTTTCCCGCCCTGCCCCACAGCTCTCTGGGCCTTGCAAGAGAGCTGCTTATTCATATCAATAATTATTTTAAAAGTCTCATTTCTTCACATTTCTCTTTTGAGTAGAATAGCACTTGGAAGCATAATTACCAAAGAACAGGAAGACTTCTTGCCTCCAATTAACCAAGAAGATACCATCTTGGCCGCGTTCCAGGCTTAAATCAACATCAGCAAATCACCTATAGCAGACTCCAGTCCCTCAAGGTTAGTGTCCCTCTGCTGCTGGCGACGCTCCCAGAGCCTTGAGCATCTTGATTTTAATTAGCATCATTGCAGCTGGTCCCATGGAAAGGCCACAAGAAGGAACCACCTGCCACCGGCAGGGCTGATGGGATGCAGCCCAAGGCTCCTCGGCTCCGAGCCCTGATTCAGCCTCTCCAGTCCTCCTGTTTCTACCTGGAGGGCGGCTGCTGCTCTGTGTAAGCACCTTCTTAGAGCAAAAGACTACAGCACCATGAGATGCCCTTGAAAGTGAAAGTGCTGTCACTCAGTCGTGTCCGACTCTTTGCTGAACTGTAACGCCCCAGGCTCCTCTGTCCATGGGATTCTCCAGGCAAGAATACTGGAGTGGGTTGCCATTCCCTTCTCCAGGAGATCTTCCCGACCCAGGGATCAAACCTGGGTCTCCTGCATTGCAGGCGGATTCTTACCATCTGTGCCACCAGTGAAGTCTGAGAAGCCCTTCGTTCTGGGAAATACACGTGGAGTAATGTAGGTGTGAGCCTGTGGCATTCTCTCAAGTGACTCAGAAAAGAAAATACGTGTATGTGTGTCCTCAGCTCCCTGCCGTCACAGAGACGCAGAGGAAGAAAGACGCGGGGGAGTGGTGGGAGGTTAGCACTTAGGGAGTCCGGGGCAAGGGGATTCAGCAATCTCTGCAGCATTTCTGCAAGTCTGAAGTTATGATTATTTCAAAATAAGTAAAAAATATTACAAGAACACTGCACTAACTTGGATACTAAAACCATCATCAGACTACCTAAACAAACTGAGGACCCTGTGAGATAAAGGACTTTGAGGTGAATATGACTGTACATCTTATCAGTCCAGATGAAAGTTCTTTTCTGTTTTCCTTTAGATAAAATAATAATAGTAGTTTCTCAAGAAAGGCCACCTGATACAGACAGCCCTGTTTCTAAAGTTCTCTGCCCTCTGTCAATCCTGGGCGTATTTCTCAGCGTTCACTTTGTAAATTAATTTCTAATCACCATTTCAGTGCAGTGGATGCTTCTGGCCGACCCATGAACTAGCTATTCTGCTCCTCGGTGCTGGTGGATAGAATTCAAGAAGAGAAGCACCAATTAACTCTCCAATTAGGATATTCACACCAACTGTTACTTCTCATGCGCAGGCTGAACAGAGATGTGAATGCTGTTCTTGGGCTTTTTAGTCACATGAATAACTGTTGTTAAGTCACTCAGTCTTGTCTTGATTCTTTGTGACCCCATGGACATGGGGCTTGCCAGGCTTCCATGTCCTTCACCATCTCCTGGAGCTTGCTCAAACTCAGGTCCATTGAGTCGGTGAAGCCATCCAACAGTGAATAATAAATCAAGATAAAAGCCTACAAAATGCAAAGCGACAGTGGATCAGAGGCTCAGGCTCACATGTGCTTCTGAGGGCAGCTGCAGGGACGAAGACTCCTTTCTTCTTTTCATGTTTTCAGGAAAAAACAGACAGACAGTGCTTTCCTCCTCCAGGGAGTTCTCTGGGTGCTGGCCAGGCAGGCGCTGCGCCGTCCTCTCCTGATGCCGCCTTGTTGATGGATGTCACAGGGATGCAGCCCAGACCCTCTCGTTTCTCATTAGTAACCGGGCGCGAATCCTTTCAGGGGCAGCGTCTTCTTTAAACTCACAAAAGGGGCCTTCTCAAATGGGGTCTTGGGACACAGCCCCTTTTGATGACTCAGCTCTGTCTTGCAGATCATCAGCAGAGCTGAGGTCCGTGCTTCGCTGTGTTTCCTTGAAGAGAAAACTGAAACTAGTTTGTTTTGTACTTTTTGTCCATAAAGGAAGCTACGTGGCTGCCTTACTCCAGAAGACAGCATGGCGGCAGAGCGTCTGGTTTTGCTTCTGCTTTGGTTTTTCCAGATAAACCAGTACATGAGGGGCAGCCCTTCTCCTGGAAAGCCTCTCCACCGTCACACGGGGTCTCCCACCTTGGGGGCTGCAGGAGCAGGTGCACCCCTGAGCCTCCAAACTTGCCCCACCCCGGGGAAATGGCTGTGGTCACTCTCCTCCCTGCCCTCCTTCACGTGAGCCCTGAGACAGAGCTCAGGGCGTGCTGTACTGCAGGGCCTGCCCTTAATGCTTTCGAGAAGGCAAGTTCTGTCGGAGCCTCCTGGGAGCCCAGGGCCATTGGGATGTGCATGGGGCAGTGGGATTCCACATCTTCCAGGCGCATTGGTGCAGCTTCAGGGATGTAGCTTTGGGAGGAAGGAAGACGCGCAGAGCCAGGACACCTGGAGACCCCGATCCCTCCAGATGAGCTCCGTGGCGGCCCAGAGATAGAACATCTCAACTCTTCGAGGGACGTCAGTGATCCTGGAAAAAGCTTTCACCAGAGGGTCCAAAAAAAACGTTAAAAAATAAAACCAAGATGAGCCTCCTAAGCTTACATGCACAAACTTGATCTCCAGCTGCACCCTGCAGATAATTGCGGGCACCTGAAGTCTTTCTGCTGGTATTTACAACAACCAAGGCCATAATTTCACGGGAGCCAGGTGTTAATAGCCCTTAATCCGATAAATCTCAGGGAAGTCGGTTCTCCAGTGCTTGCTATAAAGGCATTGAGCAGACTTCACCAAGACTGACATGCAAGGCAGCCGGGGCTTTAAATGCTGCTCCGAGTAGAGCTGTTCGCAGAGTTGGGCTCACTGCACAGGCCAAGGAAGAGCTGCTGGCAAAAATAAATTTGCCTGATATTTTCTTAGCAGCGAAAGCCAGGGTGGTGCTCCTGCGGCTCTCTCTGAAATCACAACACCGCCCACCAGAGAATGCTCAGCTCTGCGTTTTATCTATAAATGCCTCTGACCCTGTTGTTGGCTCTGGACTAGGGAACCACGTTTTCCACCAAGAAGGTGGAGAACCATGTCGCAGGGTAACGTCGGGGCCACCGTGACCCCTCTGCGGGCTCATGTCCGGCAGCCTCGACGGCACCGGGACCCGCGGAGCTTCTTGCGGGTGGGATCGGCGCTCCTGGGGCTGTTCCCAGTGCGGGAGGGCCCGTCCCCTGAGGCCAGGCCTCGCGCTGCTGCCCGTGGGCGCCTGCTGTCGGGATGACTGCCCGGGACCCTCCCAGCTGCCGCTCTTCGGCTTTGGGACAGAAAGTCCGCTGTCCAGCTTCAGCCCGCACGTGCGTCTGCCTCCCGCTCTTCTCTGTCTTCTCAGGCCTCGTCTTCCTCTGCGTCCACAGGTGCTGGCGCCCCGCACCAGGCGCTCCCACCAGCAGGCCCCGCCCCCGTGCCCTGCCCCGCCCCTCCC